GATCCAACAAAATTAAACCTATATATCCAAGAGGGACTCATGCACATATACACCAGGATACATACCTGAAAATATACATCTAGAAGCAACCCATATTGTATTCCATTAATAATAAAACAGATAAACAAATTTTAGAAATAATCTACAAATGCATTCAATAACTGGTAAGTCTTTAATATTGAATAAAAACAAGCCATAAAAAATACACACAGCATTTTTCTGGTGCATGTAAATTTCAAGAATAGGCAAAACTAAACTATATCATTTAAGTATACATAAATAATAAAGAAAGCAAGGAAATCTTTTTTTTTTTAAGTCAGGGTAATGGTTACTTCAAGAAGTGACTAGTGGTTACACAGATGTTTGTTCTATAATGAGTTGTTAAATGGTATCTGTAAATTTCATGCACTTTTTAGTATATGTAATATTTGCAACAAAAATGAGGGGGGAAAAAAAGAGAGTAGAGTTGAGTGATAATCTATAAGGCAACCAAGCTAACATTATGAAAACTTAGGGGAGGTAAAAGCAAAACAGAAATCACCACAATGTAAAGAGAACAAACTCAATACCATAGAAAAAGAAGAACCATTATTGAAAAAGAGAAAAAAAATATATAGTGTCGTTTATGTCATTCAGAAACAGATGATTTTTTAAAAATCAACAATAAATAAATTTTGGTTTGGTCACAAATGACAACAATTTCTCTTTGGTTCAACTTCAAAATTCTAACTTTTACAAATCTCTTTTAGAGGCAAAATACACACAACATAAATTAAGTCAAAGGACAAACAACTCCTGTGAAGAGGAAATATTTAAGCTGAGATCTGAGGGATAAGTAGAAATTCACCCAGCGGAGAGTGTTCCAGGCTGAGGGAACAGCAAATGAGAAGGTGCAGAGGTGCAAAAGGCCCTGACCCTTGCCAAAAACTGAAAGGAGACCAGCCTGGCAGAAATGCAATGCCGACCTTCATCTGGAGAAGGCTGCCTGAAGAGGAATGGTGGAAGAAAACCAATTCTGTTGATTGTGAAGATTTTCTCCCATTCTGTGGATTGTCTGTTTACTCAGCTGACTGTTCCCTTTGCTGTATGGAAGCTCTTTAGTTTAATTAAGTCCTACCTATTTACCTTTGTTTTTGATGATTTTCAAAAGAAAATATACAAATGGACAAAAAACATATGAAAAAATGCTTAACATCCCTAATGATCATGGAAATGCAAACCAAAACCACAATGCCATACCATCTTACTCCCTCAAGAATAATTGAAAACTCAAAAATAATAGACGGCGTGGATGTGATGAAAAGGGAACACTTCCACACTGTTGGTGGGAATGTAAACTAGTACAATCACTATGGAAAACAGTGTAAAGATTCCTTAAAGAACTAAAAGTAGAACTACCATTTGATCCAGCAATCCCACTATTGGGTATCTACCCAGAGGAAAAGAAGTCATTATATGAAAAAGATAGTTGCACATGCATGTTTATAGCAGCACAATTCACAAATGCAAAAATATAGAACTAGTCTAAATGCCCATCAATCAACGAGTGGAAAAAGAAACTGTGAGATATACACACACACACACACACACATCACATATATATCACACACACATATATATACACACATATATATATATGATGGAATACTACTCCGCCAAAAATAGGAATGAATTAATGCCATTCACAGCAACCTGGATGGGATTAGAGACTACTACTCTAAGTGAGGTAACTCAGGAATGGAAAACCAAACATCATGTGTCCTCACTCATAAGTGGGAGCTAAGTCATGAGAATGCAAAGGCATAGGAATGATACAATGGACTTTGGGGACTTGGGGGGGAAAGGGCAGGAAGGGGGTGAGGGATAAAAGGCTACAAATTGGGTTTAGTGTATACTGCTCGGGTGATGGGTTCACCAAAATCTCACAAATCACCACTAAAGAACTTACTCATGTAACCAAACACCACCTGTTCCTCAAAAATTTCTATGGAAATAAAAATTTTAAAAATTTTTAATAAAAATAAATACATAAAAGATTACTATTAAAGATTAAAAAAAAAGAAATTCCAGAAACTTCTGTTTTGCTAAAATGTTACTGGTTGGGTCTCGATGTTATCACCTCTGATAACTGCCACCTCCTCCCCACGGAGAGTTTTAAGGTGAATAGGAAATTTGCATTCATAGAGAAAAAAGTACAATGCTGGACACTAAATTAATTCTACCAAGATGTTTAATCTCTGATTTCTGTGTTGCTGTAAACTTCATACATAGTCAACTAGCACTGAAAAGAAGGAAGAAATTGAAACGAGACAAAGGACATAACAAATTCTTTCCCTTGACTCTGAGTTTAATGCTGAACAACTATAAAAGCTATTGGTAGGACTTGGGTGTTCCCAAACATGCAGGTCCTACGACTACTGGGAGAGTAAGTGGGTTCCACCAGAACTTAAGTTATCCCTTTCCGACTGCAATGTCTATAGTATTTCCAATAATGTATTCAGGATTCAAGGCAATGCTTTTCCAAATGGGAGCAGACAGATTTTTGAGGTGTGATCTACTTATTCCCCTTACTGAAGAAAAAAATAAGCCCGACTCTTTATATTTACCTAAATTAATAAATTGTATTCTTATTGACAACGAGAATAATAGCTTTGAAGTAAATACACACACTGTGCTTTAAAAGTCCACTCTGTCTCCCTGCTTTATTTTCTACACAATACATACATTATTTCAGATATACATTCAAAAGGACAGCTGTATACTGGTACTTTTAAAGAAATTATGCATTTTCTGGTGCCAGAACACTCAGATGGTCCATTTACCACTTCAGGGAACTTGCCAGTGTTTTTTAAGCAGTGAAACTTTCATTTTCTCACTTTTTAAAAAATTCCTATTCTCTTTCATGATATTCACTAATACTATGAAATTATTCAGACGTTTTAGAAGCCATTAAAAGTAGAGAAAATTTCTGTTCTCTATAGAATGTAGATCTTATATTTGTTTTTAAACCAAACAGGTATGTCGAAAAAGGAGGCACGGGGATTTACACTTCTACAGTAACACGGCCTTCAGTTCAAAGCAGGCACACCAATGTCTAATCACTTTGACCAGTCACTTTCACGTAGGAGGCAGTCAAGGTCTGTTGGTTAACTGATTCATTAGTTAGTTAATGTAATAAGTTCAGCCTGCCTCCTTTCTTTGAGCCCCAAAAGTTCAATGGAAATGAGAAAAATATAAAGAATCCAGAGACTCTTAGATACTAGGAACACAATTATCCCATAAAAAATGTAAAATGTCATCTTTTGTAAAAATTCTTTGCAAAGTAGTCGAAGATGCTTTTTCAGAACCCCAGATACTCTCTCAAGTTCATTTTATAAAATGTTTAACAAGGCTTCATCAAGAACTTACATAAAATATAAAATCTGGGAAATACCATTCTGGACATAGGCCCTGGCAAAGATTTCATGATGAAGCAAGCAATTGCAACAAAAACAAAAATTGACAAATGGGACCTAATTGAACTAAAGCACTTCTGCACAGCAAAAGAAACTATCAACACAGTAAACAGACAACCTGCAGAATGGGAGAAAATATTTACAAACTATGTATCCAAAAGAGGCATAGTATCCAGAATCTATGAAGAATTTCAACAAACCAACAAACAAAAAGCTAGCAATCCCATTAAAAAATGGTCAATAATCGTGAACAGACACTTCTCAAAAGAAGACATACACACAGCCAATGAGCATGTGGAAAAAAGGTCCACATAACTAATCATTAAAGAAATGCAAATCAAGACCACAATGAGATACTGTCTCACACCAATCAGAATGGCCATTGTTAAAAAGTCAAAAAGCAACAGGTGCTGGCAAGGTTGAGGAGAAAAGGGCACACTTATTCACAGCTAGTGGGAATGTAAATTAGTTCAGCCAATGTTGAAGGGAGTTTGAAGATTTTTCAAAGAACTGAAAACAGAACTACCATTCAACCCAACAATCTCATTACTGGGTATATACCTAAAGAAATAGAAATCATTCCAACATAAACATATCTGCACGCATATGTTCACTGCTGCACTATTCACAATAGCAAAGATGTGGAATCAACCTAAATGTCCATCAGTGGTGGACTGGATAAAGAAAATGTGGCATATATACACCATGGAATACCACACAGCCATTAAAAAAAATGAGATCATGTTCTTTGCAATAGCATGGATGGAACTGAAGGCCGTTATCCTAAGTGAATTAACACATGAACAGAAAACCAAATACCACATGTTCTCACTTATGGGAGTTAAACATTGAATACACATGGATATGAAGAGAACAATAGACACTTGAGAGTGGAAGGTGGGAGGAGGATGAGAATTGAAAAACTACCTATCGAGTACTATGCTTATTACCTGGGTGATGAAATAATCTGTACATCAAGTCCCCAAAACACACAATTTACCCATGTAACTAACAAATCTGCACATGTACCCCCAACCCAAAATAAAAGTTAGAAAGAAATAATAAAAATGAAATATATATGTGTGATTGATTCATGTCTACTTATGAATGTATCCACACCCAGATTTCTAGAAATACGTATACAACACAACAGTTCCAAAAGATTATAGGAAAACAGGAAGATATTTATGCTTCAGAAAACAAGATTTAATAAACATCTATTTAGCAACTATTGTTTTTCAGTCATAGTCTGGCTAGTAAGGACACTACACTGAGTAAATCAGACATAATACCTGCCTTCATAGAGCAAGAAGCAGATAATGAAAAGTATGAAGAGAGTAACAGGGATGAGAAGGGCTAAAAATGCGCCAGGGACAAGATAGGAAAGGCAGAACAACTTTTCTTGTTTTCAATAACATTGTGTTTCATAAAAATGACAGCAAGAATTATAATCATAAATTAGAAATTCATTATAAAAGTAGTTGAGATCTCATAAGTGGTTGGTGCTTTAAAAAGTGGTAAAATGGAAGCTAAGATTTACCTTACTGCATAATCCTTGAATCCCTCATGGTCATTGTTGCTGAAAAGGAAAACAAGAAAAGAACAGTAATGAGATGAAGGAATGGATGGCTAATTGCTTGAACTGATTGATTGGTTGATCTTGTCAAGGTGGAGTGAACTACACAGATGGTATGAAAAACCTTTTGAGTATCTAGTTACCAACTAAAAATAATTACCTCATCCTGGGTCAGCATTTGATTGGGTTCCAACTGGATGGCAATTTAACTATTCTAAGTCTCATCATACAACATCCTGCCAACAAATACTTAGAGATCATCTCTAGATGCTATTCATACTTATACCAAGGCTTTAGTGCAAACATATTTCCCTTTTTTCTTCTGTGGTCCTTTTACATATGTTGCTCCTTTACTAACATTTTGCTTTATCTAGGCATATCAACTTGTGAATAAATATATGTATATATTTTGTTTCCACAGTTTTAGGAAACAGGTGGTTTTTTGTTACATTGATAACGTTCTTTAGTGGTGACGTCTGAGATTTTGGTGCACCCATCACCCAAGCAGTGTACGCCATACCCAATGTGTAGTCTTTTATCCCTCACCCAACCCCCATTCTTCCCCCTAAATCCCCAGAGTCCATTATCTCATTCTTATGCCTTTGCATCCTCATAACTTAGCTGACACTTATAAGTAAGAAATACAATATTTGGTTTTCCATTCCTGGTTACTTCACTTCAAAAAATAGTCTCCGGGGCCAGTCACGGTGGCTCACACCTGTAATCCCAGCACTTTGGGAGGCCAAGGCAGGTGGATCACCTGAGGTCAGGAATTCGAGGCCAGCCTAGCCAACATGGTGAAACTCTGCCTCTACTAAAAATTCAAAAATTAGCCAGGCGTGGTGGCATGCATCTGTAATCCCAGCTACTCGGGAGGTTGAGGCAGGAGAATCACTTCAACCCGGGAGGCGAGGCTGCAGTGAGCCAAGATTGTGTCATTGCACTACAGCCTGGGCAACAGAGCAAGACTCTGTCAAAAAAAAAAAAAAGAAGAAGAAGAAGAAAAAAAGAAAGAGAGAAAGGGAGGGAAGGAAGGAAGGAAGGAAGGAAGGAAGGAAGGAAGGAAGGAAGGAAGGAAGGAAGGAAGGAAGGAAGGGTATCCAACTCCATCAAAGTTGCTGCAAATGCCATTATTTCATTTCTTTTTTATGGCAATATTTTTCTTTTTTCTTATACTTTAAGTTCTAGGGTACATGTGCACAACATGCAGGTTTGTTACATATATATGCATGTGCCATGTTGGTGTGCTGCACCCATTAACTCGACATTTACATTAGGTATATCTCCTAATACTATCCCTCCCCCCTCCCCCCACCCCACGACAGGCCCCGTGTGTGATGTTCCCCTTCCTGTGTCCAAGTGTTCTCATTGTTCAATTCCCACCTATGAGTGAGAACATACGGTGCTTGGTTTTCTGTTCTTGCGATAGTTTGCTGAGAACAATGGTTTCCAGCTTCATCCATGTCCCTACAAAGGACACAAACTCATCCTTTTTTATGGCTGCATAGTATTCCATGGTGTATATGTGCCACATTTTCTGATTCCAGTCTGTCACTGATGGACATTTGGGTTGATTCCAAGTCTTTGCTATTGTGAATAGTGCCGCAATAAACATACGTGTGCATGTGTCTTTAGAGCAGCATGATTTATAATCCTTGGGGTATATACCCTGTAATGGGATGGCTGGGTCATACGGTATTTCTAGTTCTAGATCCTTGAGGAACCACCACACTGTCTTCCACAATGGTTGAACTAGTTTACAGTCCCACCAACAGTGGAAAAGTGTTCCTATTTCTCCACATCTTCTCCAGCACCTGTTGTTTCTTGACTTTTTAATGACTGTATGGCAATATTTTTGGACAGAAACACTGTTACTTGGATTGTCAGGTGACTAAAGAACATTCTGTCAACAACAAAAATTAATTCATGATTAACATCAACCATAATAACATATTATAACAAATTTCTCACAAACTGATAGCAAAAAAATACATTTATTGTATTCAACAAATTCTATTCTTTGTGAAATCTGGGCAATTCAGTAGTCACTCAAAAGCCAAAGTAGGAGAAAACTCAGATAGTTCATCTAATTAAGTTTAAAAAGCATGTTCTCTAATTCTCTGCTAGAATGTCCCCGTTTCTCTTCCTTTGGCCAATACAGCCAGATTAGGCAAGGGTGGGTTTGGTCTACCATCAGTCCTGAATACAAAAAGGGGAGACAAAGCATGAAATATTTACAACTGGGAAATATTTGCATTAGTGCAAATTGAGGGGCTTAGTACAGTCATAGACTTAGGATAAGAAGTCCTCTCTTACCATCTCACACCAGTTAGAATTAAAAAGTCAGGAAACAACAGGTGCTGGAGAGGATGTGGAGAAATAGGAACACTTTTACACTGTTGGTGGGATTGTAAACTAGTTCAACCATTATGGAAAACAGTATGGCGATTCCTCAAGGATCTAGAACTAGAAGTACCATATGACCCAGCCATCCCATTACTGGGTATATACCCAAAGGATTATAAATCATGCTGCTCTAAAGACACATGCACACGTATGTTTATTGCGGCACTATTCACAATAGCAAAGACTTGGAATCAACCCAAATGTCCATCAGTGACAGACTGGATTAAGAAAATGTGGCACATATACACCATGGAATACTATGCAGCCATAAAAAAGGATGAGTTTGTGTCCTTTGTAGGGACATGGATGCAGCTGGAAACCATTGGTCTCAGCAAACTATCGCAAGAACAGAAAACCAAACACCGCATGTTCTCACTCATAGGTGGGAACTGAACAATGAGATCACTTGGACTCGGGAAGGGGAACATCACACACCAGGGCCTATCATGGGGAGGGGGGAGGGGGGAGGGATTGCATTGGGAGTTATACCTGATGTAAATGACGAAGTGATGGGTGCTGACGAGTTGATGGGTGCAGCATGCCAACATGGCACAAGTATACATATGTAACAAACCTGCACGTTATGCACATGTACCCTAGAACTTAAAGTATAATAATAAAAAAAAAAATTTGAACTGAGGGAAAAAAAAAAAAAGAACTCTCAAATTTTCTCAAAACTATTCTTTCTTACCTATGACAAAGTCCACCACTTAATCATGATGCATAGCAATCTGAAGAGGTAAAGCCTAGCTATGCTGTCTAAAATAATAGCTACTAACCACATGTGGCTATAAAAGTTTAAATTAAAATTAAATTAAATTTGGAATTGTTACCCAGATACACTATCCAAATTTCAAGTATTCAGTAGCCACATGTCATTAGTGACCACAGTCTCAGGCAGCACAGAAGCTCATTTCCAACATCTCAGAACATTCTACAGACAGAATTGCAGAGCCTTCCTAGAAAGTTCTTCTCTTTACTTGGAAGAGAGAAAGTGAGTCTTGAACAAATCCTGTTGGATGTAAAAAATATATTTGTTTCTGTGTAATTGTTGCCAGCCCTCAGGATACATCCCCACCCTGGAAACTACTGTGTTACTGTCAGTTATTCCCTTTTCTTTGTCTTTCATTTCAAATTTATCTGCTTGGACTGCCCAGTCCCACTTCTTTGAGTTTTACATCTCAAAAACTTTACCACTATCCTTGGGCCAGGCTCAGACCTGCCTCCCAGATTTACCTACACTTTCTATCAGATCAGCCTGGTTCGTGTTATATTTTCTCATCACAACAATACATTTTTACATTTTGAAAGGTTCTTCCTATGGAACTCAGTACACACCCATCCAGAGAAAAAGGTAGAAAGCAGACTTTTCTTTAGAGAAATAGAAGTAAGCCATTTCAGATCAAGTATTTTTCAGAGTTCTCTCCTCTTCATCAACTGTATCTACCCCAAATATCAAGTGAATACTTAGCCATAATATCTCAACCTAATGAGAAATAAATTGATGATTACATGAAAGTCAAACTTTTCCCTTAAGTTTCTTCACCTTGATATAAAGAAATAGAACTAAATTTCAGATTGTGTTCTTCTGGGCAAAGGTTTCTCTTATTCAAATATACCTTTTGAAGCCAGTCGAAAGGACTTGCTGATAAACATTTCAACACCACGCTTTATTACAACAAGTTATTTCTGTTGTTTACTATGTGGTTCGACCTTGATGAAAAGCAGATCTTCACCAGTGCATTTTTGTGCGAATTCCTTACCTTTCTGTTTACAAAAGAAAGTGAGGACCTTTCAGGGCTATTTGTCACCATGCCCTAGTAGCCAACAATGCACATTGTCAACTGCTTAAGGTTTCACTTCCTAATTAACTTTCCTAGAAGCATAAGAATGGTCTGAAAACACAAAGCTCTCCCATTAACCTTCCCTCATGCCACTCTACTCAGTCCTGGATGGATGATGAGTGTGTTGAACAATAAAGTCCTCCAGTGGGGTAGGAGTCATCCTGCACACAAAGAGAGTAATCTGAGAAAGCTTTCTGCAGAACAAATTAGTTATCTACTTCAGTTAGAACCTTTTTAAAGGATTGCAACATTAAGACAGTCCTGCCCCAAACCCATGCATGAATGTTGAAGTTATTCTCAAACATATTTACTTCCTTCGTTCCCAAAATGAGATTCATTTTCACTTAATCACTAACAATATTTCCCAGCCCTTAGCTGAGAGATTCCAGATCACACATGCACACAAAATTCCAACGTATTTAGTAATGGGGAACTTTAAATAGAGTCATTATTAAAATAAGTGGAATTTTATTTTAAATCCTTGATTAGGCATTTGTAATAAAATGCACTCCACTAAAGAATAACTACTTGAATGTCCTACAATTATTGTGCTGCTGTTCCTTTTAATTGAAGGAAATTATTTTGGCAAAATTTTTAGGTTATGTTTTTTAAAAATGTAATACTGCAATCATTTTACTTTGACATAGACGCAGGGATTGTTTTGCCCATTTTATAGGAAAAGGAAATAAGGAACAGAAAAGTAAAGTCACAAACCTCACATTGCACAATCTGTCAGCAAGGAAATCAAGAGCA